TGATGTCATACTCAGTCTACAAGAAATTGGGATTGAGAGATGTTCTTAAGCCTACTCGGATCACTCTCCAATTGGCTGATCGATCAGTAAAAATCCCAAAAGGAGTGGTGGAGAATGTATTGGTGAAGGTGGGAAAGTTCATTCTCCCAACAGATTTTGTGATTCTGGAGATGGAAGAAGATCGGGGAGTGCCTCTCATGCTCTGTAGACCTTTCCTAGCCACTGGCGATGCACTCATCGATGTCGGGAGAGGCAAGTTGACATTCCGAGTAGGTAAGGAGGAGGAAATTTTTAATGTCTTTCAAGTTGACCATAATCACGATGCATTTGATGACTTTGAAAGTGGAGCTCGAGAAAGGAAAAATTCCTCCTCCTGTGATAGTGTACCACCAGAAGAACTATCACGTGTCCTATCAGCTCAGATTCTGAAATCGAAGCAAGGACAAAAATCCTTGCCAAGGCATCTCAAGTATAGATATTTGGGTAAGGATTTCAATCCTCCTGTTATTATTCCTTGTTCACTGACATTGAAACAGGAAGAGTACTTGCTTGAGGCGTTGCAATACCACCTACGCCTCGCTAAAGGGTCTAACTGCCAGCTAAGAAGGTCGTACCCAATTTTCGCACACCTGGCCCTGCAGAGGGGACTCATATGTTGGGTGGAGGGTATGCGTTCTATCATTGCTCGGGAGGGTATTTTGGATACCTTTCCATACCCATTGGTTGAAAGCTCCATGAACGTCAGGCTGAGGACGTTAAACAAGCACTTCTTGGGGCGCAAACCAAGGTGAGTTTTCTTTTCTTTATTTTTCTTTTTTGTTGTGTCAAACCCGTGCATGTTTAGATTAGGAGTTGAACATTAGGGACAATGTTCCATCCTGAGTGTGGGGTGGTGAGTCTTAGTGTTGTTTGTCCCTATTGCATGTGGCAAAAAAAAAAACCCTGACATTTGGGTTGTGCATAGCCAAACTGCATGCAGTCTACCTGTGTTGGTGCAGTCTGCCTGTGCTAACCTAATGGCTAAAAAACACCTAAAAATCAAAAAAATTAAAAACAAAACCTTGTACTCTTGTGGTAACATGATGTGAATGACCGTGATGCGTGTGAAATGCGTTTGTGCTTGAATGAAATCATCAAAATCACCCCACTAGTGTTGAATTGCATGACTGACTGGATATGCTTTGAATGAGCAAACTCTTTTAGCAAAACTCTATTTTGGGAGGATATTGTAATGACTTAGGGTGAAGTAGTTAGGTGAAGAACATTGACCATTCGACATGTTTGGATACCGGGCTTACTTGCATCTGTTGTGAGCTTTTGACTTTGCATTGAGTCTCTCTGTTTTAAAAGGTTTTATGTTGGGGTGAACTGCATCTTTATAAATGAGAAAACACTACCTGACAAGTAAAATTAAGAAAGTTGCCATAACAATTAAAGTGCGGGTAAATTGCCAAAATCGTGTGAGGCAATCACTCATTGCACAAGGGGTTAGGAAAGGTTCAACTGAGTACCGGTTCGCGACGGTACGATGTTGCTTATCAAGTACGAGCCCACCCACCCCCCACCCCCCCGGGTTGAGTGAAGTGTCGTTTGAGGATGTGCAGTAATCCTCCACATGGACCGAGTAAAAGGAGTTGAAAGAAGCCCTTATGCGAGTGCTAAGAAGCAGAAATTGCTCTTGCTCGGTCACAGGTAGTAAGAAACAAATCCCCCTTGTACTAAATACGACCACTCGGCAAGCAAAATCAGAAAGAGAGAAAGCCTCTCCTTGTTAGAAAGATAGTGATATGCTTAAATTTAAAATCAAGTTTGCTAAAAGCTTCCCCCATTTGTTTTTTAGACTCATGCTTAGTTAATTGCTTATGATTGATATGAGTAAGCCAGACTGTCCTCACGAGATATACACCTCACTGATGTTGTTAGAATATCCTAATAATTGCTGCACCATAAGTTGTTAATCACCCACTACTGACGATCAGAAGTGAGTGTTGCTAATTGAGTTTTTGATGGATTTAAGCTAGTCAATGGTAAATGATCGCAAAGAACTTGAGTGTGGGGTGAATGGTATGATCATTAAAGCACAACTCCTCCATTGACAAAAAAAACTACTGATTACCACAAGAGTACAAGGATAAATTTATGTTGTTGATGTTGTGTTCTGTGTGTCATGGGTCTTGTGTTTTGTGTTTTGAGCAAGGTCGTCACTGTGTGGTCTGTGATTTGTTTTCTCCAATTATTGTCCTCTTGTTCAAGTTGTTGCTTAGGGACAAGCAGGTATTGAGTGTGAGGTTGTGATAATTGTCGAAAACATATTGATCATATGTGCTTCATGACATTATTTCATGATATGTTTGAGACATATAATGCTTGTTTTAGAACTGATTGACTATGGAATGGCTGTAAAACCATTAACACCAAGTGCCATGAATTCTATGTGTTTTAGGTGAAGAAAATGGATTTCCGCAGCTCAGAAAGATTACAAAAGTGTAAAGGAAAAATGATTCACCAAGCCATCTGACAAGAAACTGGCTCTTTCTATTTTGGATCAGAAGTGATTATTTCCCTTGTTAACAAGCAACATTGGGCAACGGGCCCATTCCACTTCTTTCACCTGGGTGGTGGCGGAAGGGATCAAAAAGAGGAATTGGGAGGAGCCATTTAGGGGAGAATTAAGTGGACACGCAGCAAGGGACACTGGGACCGGGGGGCAGTTGGACCGGAGAAAGGGACCGGCCGGGGGGAATTATTTTGGGGGAAACGAATTGCTTGAGGAGGAATTCTTTTAACAGACTTCGATTGATAAACAACAACAGCGTGCGACGGGAGCAGCGGAAAATCTCACCCATCGCGAGCTACCAGGGGAGAAGGAATCGACGAGCATCGGTTGGAAATTTTCGAGTATTTTCGTTCCGACTCCTTTTATTAGCTTCATGATGATCAAGAACATGATTATATATTTTGATTTTGTCATGAACTAAACCCCAATTTCTGGGGGAAACACAATAGGATGTAGTTATTTCTAGATTTGATGGATTGATTCATATTTCTTTTCTTCCAATCTATATTGCATGAAATTTCTTAATGCTTTGTGTTGACTGGCCACCAATATGATGATTTGTAGTTAATTAGTTTATTAGCGACAGTGAAACCCTAATAACTAAACCTATTTCATGTGACATAGTAACTTATCGAAGCGACAGTGGATTAAATAAGGTGTTATGCGGTCTTAAATAGGATATCGATCTTCAGGCTAAATAATTAAGTCATTGAGCTACGACAGTAGGATTTGATTTAATTGTTTGGTACGTAGTAATTCCCGACAGGGATAGTTAGCACAATAGTGAAATCCTGGCTGTAGAGATATGAATTAAACTGATTGGAATATGTGAATTAATTTGGATATGATAGGTAGCGAGTCCCGGTGTTTCTCCTAGAGCTTTCTCCCATTGAATTTCTCCCGAGTTTACTTTGCTTAACTAGTTCATTTTGATTTTAGATAATTAGTCTCATTAAACCATTTTTATCTATAGTTTGCTCCATAGAATTGATAAATCATAATGTTGTAGCAGTCCCTGAGAGACGATACCCGGACTTTCTGGTTTACTACGAGATAGGATTAAAGCATATACGCTTTTGCCCTATCAGTAATCGCGGCTTTGTCTCTCTAGCTTACTAATGTGTAATGATTTTGAATTACTGGCGTAAATTTTTTGAATTAGTGGCCTAACAAAGTGACCAAATTTCTCTCTATTTCCTTCTTTTTTACCATAATGTGTGGCCTTTGCAAAGGCATGCTGCTCTTACCATTATGAATTTGGTCATGGTTCAACCATGTCTCTGAATTTGGTAATCGTTCTAACCATTTCCTCTCGGCATCTCTGTGCTTGATGACAGTGTTTCTGAAAAGGCCAGTCTGTTCAGGGCACCGCGGCCAATGCAAATCGTATACATTAGGTTGGTTCATGCACTCATGTTTGTTTTAGTACTATACTTGGAGTTTGGACCTGCCTTTGCTACTGCTACGGTTCAACAGTTATAGCAAGTTCATCAAACCCAACTTATAGGTTTCTTTTTTCCTACTTTTCCTTCCTGCTCATCGCTTACAAGTCATTGCCACTATAGGAAGTTATAAAAACAAAGAAACCGCCGAAATAAGCTTGGTTTCTGTGATTACAATTTGGTTTTGTAGTCTCTTAATAAGTTGGTGTGCTCTCTCAATACAATTGAAATTTCGGCCAATAACATAACTAAAAAGCTGAGGTAGAAACGCTGGACCTGTTAACCATGAATAAATGGCCCTTATGCCAAATAAGTCAACTTGTTGAATATAAAATTGCAACTATAGGACAATGTTTGCATGTATCTTACTATATAAAATTGGCATCCCTTTTCTTTACATAACCTGTTATACTCTTAACTGTTTTCTTATCTTTGCTGCAGATTTAAGGTTCTACTATTCAATACTCATTCCCTTATATTATGATGTGTAGAAACTTTTGTTATCTTTCTGAACTTTACATCAACAAACATAAGCTCCCCTTTGTGAGCACTGCTTCTTACTAATAATATAGTTCTTGGATTGATTTAATATAGCCACATACAAACATCAATTAAGTTCGAAAGATCCCATGTTATATGGCTCATGATCACTCGATTAATGCTGGAAAATGATTGTCGTTTACGGTTTCTTGAGGATGCATGTGCTTTTTTACTTTACCTTTCAAAATGTGGAGTGTGGAGGAGCTTATGTTAGAAAATTAAGTCTCCATTCCTTGTGCCTATTGTCCCAATTTAAATTTACTCTCCGAAGTATGTAAACCAAATGATATTCACGGTTTCTTCCTTGCAGCAAATTGGTTCCCGCGACGTAGTCGCGGGTATTGATTCTAGTTAGTTACGAGATAAAAGGGAAAGAAAAGCAGTGTTCAAGAACACTCGCCTAGGCGCGTTTAGTAGCTAGGCGAGGAGGAAACGTGGAGAGGAAGCCTGGGCGAAGTGGCTGGGCGCAATAAACGCGTAATCGCGTTGAAGAACGCCTAGGCGGCGAATAATAGCTTGGATCGGCGATTCCAAGCTCTAGGCGACGCCCAGAAAAAATAAAAAAAAGAAGAAGACCATGTTGTGCGTTTTGGATGGGCCGAATAGGGGAAAACCCTAATGGGTTCTTCGATCAGCTGAGTAGCACCCACAGTCGACCGCCTCTCTCCTTCGTCACCTCTCTCCCTTCTCTCCAACAGTCGATCGCTCCAGCCGTCTCCAACAGTCGACCGCCTCCAGCAGGGGGCTTCGTCGCCGGCTGCAGCGTCCTCTCCGCCAGTCTCCATAATCGCGCGCCGTCGGTCTCCATCATAGCCAATCGCGCCTCGTCCTTGCCGTCGGTCTCCACCATCGCCAGTGCCCAGACATGACTCATCCTCGCCGTCGGTCTCCAGCATCGCCAGTGCCCAGCCGTGACTCGTCCTCGCCGTCGGTCTGTAGCATTGAAGGTACTAACTCTTCTTTCTCTTTCGATTGAAGACGAACCCAGAAGAGGAATCGACTCCAACAATAATGGGTTCTCGTCTTCGGATTGTGAAGAGAGCATCGTTTCCTCCCCTGTCCTCGGATTGCGAAGAGAGCATCGCCAGTGATCAGAGAGCTTCTTTTCATCTTTAGGCTTTAGATGATATAGAGAATAAGAATTGGCATTTGACAGGGGCTGCAAATTAGTGAACTTATGAATGTTATGTTTGATCTTGCACTCTAAACTTACATATTTATCATATATTTTTTTTTCGACGTTTAATCTCGCGTAGGTAACGACTAATCGGCCTGGGCGCTGGGCGGTGCCTCCTCGCCTAGGTGGCGCCCAGCGTCTTCTTGAACATTGAAGGAAAGAAAGCAAAAAAATAACTCCTTCCCCACTCAATGAATTACTATGTATAGAAACAAGAAAAGTGACAAGTACAACTCAAGAACTCCCAAAGAATCCATACTTGGCAGTACAGAACTCCTTTTACAGTACCAAATCCAGCTTCTACTAAACATTGTTCACAGAGCCCTAATTTTTCTCTTTCACGTATCCATCGTAACATCTCCGCTGCTAGGGCTTTTCGGGTTCCCCTGAGGAAGGCCAGCCCCAAACTGGAACTCCTGCGGAGGAATGTCCAGAGGGCGAGAGAAAATTGAGGTGGCCCCTGGGGGATTGAAAGCAGGAAAGGTAGCAGCTGGTGATGGTGCTGGATCGTTGTTGACTTTCGGAAATCCAAAGCTAAAAGATGGCGAGCCAGATGGTGGGAAGGCTGGAATCCCAGGATTGGTGGTGTCTGCTGACGAGAGTAGCCTCTGCTCGTACTCCTGTAGTTGCTGGTTTACCCCTGAGATTTAGCAAAGGAGAGAGGAGAATTCAAACAAATTAAATATTGCAATTTCACTGTATTAGGAGGGAACGGACAGAGATAGAAAGCGTGAATCAAATACCTTCAGTCAATTCAACAGTAGGTCTTCGTTCTTTCACCCACTGGTAACTTTGAGCAAGTCTCCATCCCTTGGACTTCATCAAGTAAGCTATTACGATTGCTGGAGACCTGTTGAAACCATTGTAATTTAGATCAGGCCAAACATGAAACGAAAATGTGATGATCTTAATGCACCATCAGCTTCCTCATATCCTATAACTTGATCATTACAACAATCTTCTACAAGACCGGAATTGGGAAGAAGAAAGAAGACGGAAAGAACCGGTTCATATAGCAATGAACTTACCTACTCTTTCCTGACATGCAGTGCACAAGAATACGAGCCTTTTCCTTCTCACATTGCTCTACAAAAAAGCATCAAGCATTGTTTACACTCTAAACCAAATTCACAACATTGATGAAGTCATGGGTCATGGATAAATATATACATTATTTCCTCATCGATCAAGGAAGCATAGCAGTCTGTACAGTCTGATGTGGGACAGATTCAGTTCACGGTTGAAAAGATGAAATTAAAAGAGACTAAGAGCTCACCTAAAATTTGTATGGCTTCATCAAACTGCAAAGTTTTGTCATCTTGGAGGCAATGATAGGTGAAGGAGTTCTTGTAAAGATTTTGACAAGCAGGCACTGTCTAGATATGACAAATACAATAAAGAAAATTAGATTAAGACATTTATCTTGAGAGAGTAATGCAACTTATGATTTCAACACAAGAAATCAAGGAGGTCAGACACTAACAGCTTCGGATAATATCAACTGGTATCATAGTCATGCCTCAGCATCTAAAAAAGAAGAAAATATACTCAATCCTCCTCAACTGCCATAGTGTGATAGCAGAAAGAAGAGGATTGATGTATATATCTGGATCATTATTGATTACCATGCCAAATTCAGTTCATCGAACCGATTAGCATGTCACCAACTCACATACGTTTTGATGTACTATCTTGAGGCTATATATGTAAAGGAAGCATTGTATCTTTACGAACACACGAATGAATCAATTCTCTCAGTCTCTATCGACAACCCAAAACACTCCAACCCTAAAGCACCCAAAGTACTTGACCCTTAATCAATTCAACCATCGTCTGCCTTCCATAATTCCCAACGAACCCATCAAACACCTCACGGGCAAACCACACCCAATCAATCTCAATCCACAATCAACGATTGAGCCAATCGAACACACGAGAACCATATATATTAATTTATTCCAAGTCCAACAACCCTAATCAAATCAATCTAAAGAAACTAATTTTCCCCAGAAAGCAGGGGACTTCCCAATTCGAAACAGAGACTTACATTGAGAATCCGAGAAATCCCCTGGGTTTTGAGAAGCTCGGACCTTGAAGCGTTGTCGTAGCTGCCCAGATAGAGAAACTCCGGGAGGATCTCAGAAGGGAAAGCGCTGATGTGAACAGACGGTTTGTCGGCGGAGGAATCCGGCATCCGGTGGCCGCAAATCCCGCAGACCTCACCTTCTTCGTACTTGTGGTAGTGCCCGCAAACCCCACATGGGTTCTCCCTTTCCCTCTTTCTCATCATCGTCGCCGTCGTCAATCACTAGAGAGATTCAGCTAGTCAGGTTTGAAGCTTGGGATTTGGAGACAAGTTTCAGACTTTCGCCAACTGTTTGATCGCTACGGCCAACGGGTGTTAAATAACAGAGACAGGCTGCCGTCGCTCGCTCTCTTCCTAGTTCCTAAACCTTCACAGTTTCGGTTTTCTCTTTCGAGCTCGGAAACAAAATGAAACGACACAGAATTTTCCGTCTTTTCCCTTTTTCTTTTCCTTTTCGCTTTTTTAGGTCATCATGTAAGTGTACTGTATTTATTTACATTTACGCCCCTATATTTAGAACTAGCCTATTACCCGGCCCGTTGGCCGGATTAGTGTATGTTACCCACTTGTGGAATAGGAGAAAAAGCAAGTGAGAGTAGAAGGAATTGGGATTCCACTTGCTTAGAACCGACCCACTAATCCGATTCTTCCCGACCCGCCCCAACCTAAAGGGTCAGAAAGAGTCAATAAGAAAATACGAACGGAGAGGATTAGTCATATATCTTGAATCTTCATAAGTGGGTCAAACAGGATCAAGGTTGGGTGAGGGGAATTTTTAGCGCTAAGCAGAGTTCTGGTTGAATAACTTTACTTAGGCCTAGAAATTGGTGCGGATGCAGACTGCAGTTTTTATTATACCATCATCAATCATCATTGAATTAGTCCTGGGCATCCATCCCCGTTGTCGGTCTGAATTCTAATGATGGCTTCGTTCCTTGCACCAGCCATATCGGCGAGTTGTCATCTCGAACATGATTTGCCTATGTACAAATGATACAATTAGAGTATGAAACTGAATTCAAAGAAAGGAAAAGAGAATTCTATCACATGACAATAAATACACGCATAATAGTGAAGCTAAGTGAAAGTCATTACTCGCAAATCAATTCTCAAAAATTACAGACTAAACAATGGCTAGAATGGCACTGAAACTACCAAGAATCATGGACGAAACAACTTGTCAAATTAAATAATCCTTATACTCAAAACTACCTTCTAACTTGAAATAGGACATGATCACAGTTCATAGCTCTCTTCTCACTATGAATTGGTTGCAGCTCGTCCTTATCACTGCCTCCCAAGCTCAATTCCAACAGAATAGAGACAGTTATGTAAGATAACCATATCCTTACTGATCATAATTCCTTTCTTCACTCCATTTTTGTCAGAGAAAAGAGTTAACCCCCTCTCCTGCATTTCCCTTTCCCCCTCTCTTCTCCCCCTTCTTCACAAACCGATCCCTAAACCAGCAACAACAACACAAAAATAGCCTTCGCCTCTGCCATCTCCATCTACTGAACGCGTTGGTGGCAAGACAGGATTGCAGAAGCAAAATTTTCTAAAATCAAACTAAATTTTTTGAAGGAGACCTAACCACGAAAAAAGAGTAAAGCAACAATGCTAATAGTTCAGATGGTTGGTTTTGATGTTATACATTGCTTTTGTTCTGGTCTCCAGTATATCAACTGCACGATTTAGAAGCAAGTTCTCCTGTTTGTGTCAAACGAAAACATTCATAGGTTCTTAACTCCCCTGTTAGTGTAAAAGCAGCAGCAGCGGCAAAGAAGTTTGACAACACAGCAAGCACCCAGGCAAAATGATACAATGCAGTAGGTGATATGTGTCTCGAAGGTTTTGAGTTACTAAAGTTCATGTTAAAAATAAACATGAATTAAAATGGATTATTCTATTAAGCAAACATCCCCTCTAATCATACAAAGATCATATATCCAATTCACAAACAATTAAGCCATAAAAAATATCATACATCCACCACCTTTGATTGCCTAAATTTGGTTTTTCGCAAAGTTATGGACTCTTAAGGGTAACGTTCATGGGTAGTCTGTTTCATAACTCTAGAGAGCACAGTAAGCAGCCACCAGCCAGACACAGTGCGGTAGGCGAATATGATTCTCAATTCACAATTTCTCACCACCGGAAGTAAGAACAGACCATAATAAGCGTAACATTCATGGGTGGTCTGTTTCATAGCACTACCACACAATTTGTTAAAAAAGAAAGAAAGGTATTTAGCACCACGGTGGAACAACTTTTACAGGCCAACAACGACAACATGCTGCAACCACCAGAACTGGTATCACAACTCATAGGGAAAATCAAAAGAGCAATCGTCAAGCACATACACCATCACAAAAGTCACGGAATCTGATTCACAAAGCATTCAAACATTTGAGGACATTTCTGCAAAGGTACAACTTATATGTCTTTTTTCCAAGCCATTTCCATCAACATGCTAATAAATTTGCAATGCATAAAACAAACGGGCCAAAACTTGAAATTCAGCCTGTTCGATCGACCCATGCCAAATTCTAATTATTCTTTACTTTTAAACTTTCTATTTGAAAATAAAAAAAAATAGTGAAAGAAAAGAGACGACTACAATTCGCCATTTGCACATCACTTAATCGAGATTAAAACCATGGAAATTCAAAAGGAACTGAAAATGTTTAGGATCGTTATAATGTTTAAAATAACCAAATAGATCGTTATGTTTAGTTTTTTACTAACAAATACCAAACGATTCCCTATAAAATACACTATAATTTGATCATTGTGATATCAAATAATTATAAAATATATATTTGAAATGATAAAAATTGGACTAATTGTGTTGGTCGAGGTTGAACCATTGAATAACTTTAAAATACATTATATTTTAGCCACTAAGATATAAAATAATAGCATAATAGAAAATAGCTTGTTTTAGAATGACAAACCAATGATGTTCATTTGTTTTACTTGATGGCCAAATTCCATGTAGGTCAGGCCCATTCAACTCTTTTATTTTATGGTTAGCGGTTAGCCCATTAGATACCATGCATTAGTTTATTGTTAAATTTTTTATTTTTAACAATAAAAAGGAGTATTAGTTTTTCCTTTTCATATATATTTTATCACCAAGGAGAAATAAAAGGGTTTAAAGAAAAAAAATTGACACTCCTGAACCCGTTTAAATTCGCATGTGTACGGTAAGTTAGCCCGTTCCACAGAGGAAAGAGAAAAAAATTGACACTTCCTATTCTACCCTTCCTATAAACACTTATGGAGCAGGGAATTTGAAATGGGGGAAGGGTTTTTTCCTTCCTGCTAATATATGTTTTTAATTTAAAAAGATACAACAAGTGTGCTTAGTGTGATTGGTTATTATCCTTGCTTTTTTTTAAAATGGTCATGGTTATGTGTAGATTTTTCCCCCTACTTTTACTGTGTTCCTGAGCTGAGTCGCCGTCCCGAGTTCTATTTTGCGTTAACCGAGTTCTTTCTCTTTGCCGCCGCTCTTCTTCCATTCTTCGTAACCACAAAAAAGGAAGAAAAAAGAACTAACTGCAACTTACCTGATTCAGTGACCTCTGGAGAATGGCAACGATCACATATTCCTGCCGCAGAATGCTAAACTCACCTCGATTTCGCCTCTCCCGCCGCTTCTCCACTCCTTCCTTCAACCCTCGCCGAGTCGTAGTCACCGGTACGCAGCGGCTATTTCTTATATGCTTCGAGTTTGTAATTAGCACTCCAAATGATTTGGGTCCTCTTTTTCAGGCATGGGGATGGTGACTCCATTGGGAAATGGAGTGGAGACGACGTGGAAGCGATTGATAGAGGGAAATTGCGGGGTAAGGGGAATCTCCCCCGACGATCTCAAGATGGGTTCGTTTGACGAAGAGACCAAGTTAAGAACTTTCGAGCAGCTGAGCTCCAAAGTTGCCGCGGTTGTGCCTTGTGGAGAAGGTCCTGGCGAGTTCAGTGAGAAGCTGTGGCTTAATTCCAAGGTGATGAACATTTCCGCGTTTCAGTTCATTTCTTAAAGGTAAATACGTAGTTATAGAGATGGGGAATTAGAGATTGAAGAATGGAGAATCCAAATTGAAATACGAATTTATTCCATTAGGCTTTGTTTATGATGCATTGTGGGTTTTCCAATGGGATGATCTTTCATGTGGTGTTTGCTTTAAGCTTAGAAATGGCTTGTATTGGTCACCAGGAGCACAGATCAATGGCGAAGTTTATAGTGTATGCCTTAAGTGCGGCAGATGAAGCCTTGAAGGATGCGAAGTGGGAACCAATAGAAGAGGAGCAGAGGGAAAGAACGGTAATTTTCAGTTATTATTTTGTATGCAGGGAGCTAGAGTGAGGAGTAGGTTGCGAATTTCAGATTGATTTTCTGATTATCCTGGTTGATGTTTTCTTTAACCTGAAGATTTCCAGGGCGTCTCGATTGGTGGTGGAATCGGCAGCATAACTGATATCCTAGATGCCTCACAGATGATCTGTGACAAGGTCTTGTTGTTACAGTTCTTCTTTTACTGCTGTTAATGTTGCGGTTTGGAGTTACCTATATTCGTGGTCAAAGGACTGATCTCATATAGTTTCTTTCTCAACGCAGAGAGTTCGTCGGCTAAGCCCATTCTTCATACCTAGGATACTCATAAACATGGCTTCTGGTCATGTGAGCATGAAGTATGGATTCCAGGTGCTCATATTATTGCCTTCACTGAACGTTTAATCATGGTATTGCATGCTTCAGTGTAGTAGATTATCTTATCTTTTTCTTCATCATTACAGGGACCTAACCATGCGGCTGTGACTGCATGTGCTACCGGAGCGCATTCGATTGGTGATGCCACAAGAATGATTCAGTTTGGAGATGCTGATGTTATGGTGGCTGGAGGCACGGAATCCAGCATAGATGCTCTATCAATTGCAGGATTTTGCAAGTATTTATCCTGTGAAAGTCACATCATTTCTTTTTCGATAGTTTTTATTTGATTGTCATGGGGCTATAAGTTTTCCGCATGTAAAGACTACGTTCTTGATTCCTCCCAGGTCCAGGGCTTTAACTTCAAAGTACAACGCAAATCCCCTTGAAGCTTCACGCCCTTTTGATAGTGCCCGGGATGGATTTGTGTAAGCCGTCAGTTTCTTATTACTGTTCTCCATTTCCATTACTTGTTCTTGCTTTCCTAATCATCCAACTCTCTACAAGCGCAGCATCGGGGAAGGCTCTGGTGTCTTGGTATTAGAGGTGAGTTAAAGATGTCTTTCTTTCTGAGTTTCTAATTCTATTACATACTAATACAAGTTCAGATTGATTGTTATATCTCTCTCGTGCATGGTTTAACCAGGAGCTCGAGCATGCAAAACAAAGAGGAGCAAAGATATATGCAGAGATCCGAGGATATGGGATGTCCGGTATAGTTCTAAACCTTTGCCACAATTTGTGCTACTACTTCCTTAATGATAATAATATCTATGATTGATTATCCAGGAGATGCTCATCACATTACTCAGCCACCTACTACCGGAAAAGGAGCCATTCTAGCTATGACTCGTGCTTTAAAACAGGTATTAGAGTAGGCTTGAATGCTTTGGGTGGTCTTGGTTTTCGTTTTCTTCAATCAAACAATAAGATGGCTTTCGTACTTGGTTCGAACAATTTTGAGTCTTTCGTGCATTTGCAGTCAGGTTTGCATCCAAATCAAGTGGATTACGTAAATGCTCATGCTACTTCTACGCCTTTGGGTACTAACACTCTGAATCCTCAAAGATAGTTTTCTATGTGAAGATTCGGCAACACTTACGCTTGCTTTTGCCTCTTTGCAAATATTTGCTCTTCAGGCGATGCAGTGGAAGCCACCGCCATTAAAACCCTATTTGGAGAACACGCAGCCTCTGGGGCTCTGGCATTTTCCTCAACCAAGGTACACCGCAATTCAGGGTTTTCGAGCTTTCTCTTTCCCCCAGCTAGCATATGATTCTTTTCGCTTAAAAACAAGAAATGGTTGTGGTATAGGGTGCCATTGGCCATCTTCTTGGAGCAGCTGGTGCTGTTGAAGCAATCTTCACCATATTAGCAATCCACAAGGTATGCATCAATCTTCACGTACACATGAATCTAAAGTCCAATTGACGATAGAAGTTTGTGATCATCAACTGGCTTGCGGTTGTTTCAGGGAATTGCACCTTTGACTCTTAACCTAGCTACACCAGATCCAGTGTTCAAAGACGGCTTCAAACCACTGACCTCTTCGCAAGAGATGCCAATAAGTGTGGCCATGTCGAATTCTTTTGGCTTCGGAGGCACAAATGCGTGTCTTCTCTTCTCCACTTTATCATAGAAGATTCCTAACGCACATTCTAGTCTTGGATATTGAGTTCCTCAACATCCCAAATTTGGCTTGTGCTTATAAATCTTGCACGAAGGGTTTTCTTTCCCAATTCCATGTTGTAGCATTGTTGACATTTTCATAGAACCATCTTATACCGAGTTTTGCAGATGTTAAGGTTCTCTTTCAAGTTTTGTACAGTATTACCCAGAAATACAGCTTCTTAGCATACAAATACTATGTATGAACCGACTTGTAACCTTCTGTCAAAGGAACCACCTTCGCCGAAACTTTGGACTGCAACTTCATGGCAGCGGCACGAATATCCTGGGAATCAAGAATTAGAAAAGCCATCATTTGTCTAGACTCTGGAAATTATTCAGTTAGATTTTATCAATTTTTTTCTTTTTTTTTTTCTTTTTACAAATTAGATGATTCGTATCAGTTCAGTACTGTTTACCTCTATGCTATAACGAGATGAAAAATGAGTCAACATCACCACTCTGCTCCTAATCCATTCGGCATTCTCAATGATCTGGAAAGGTTTTTAAACAGATTATTCTCAAGCCAGAATTCTTCACAATGACAATGTTCGAAACTACAGATTCAGGGTAATTTTGTTTTTACCTCAAACAAATGGGTATGACCGTGTTGTTGAGCATGATCGACACTAAACCCTTCGTCCAAGAAAGTCGCCTGTCTCGAAACAGTTATTAAACAATCACCAACTAATAACTCTACTTCTTCACAGAGAGAGAGAGAGAGAGAGAGAGAGAGGAAGATCTTATTAGTAAGTGTGTTACCTCTGTTATCAGAACTTTGGCTCTCAAAGCATCTGCATTACGTGGATCAAGCATGTAGTCTGCAGTGGTATCTCCAGTGAAGGCAACCTCGGGCGACATTATGATGTCTGTGATCTAACATTGGCAGAAAAACAGAATGAAAAACATTCAGTGTAACTCAAGACAAGTCTGAAGTAAAAACAGAAGAAAAAAAAAATGATAAACCTCTACTCCAGATTTCTTCAGCTTCTCAATCTGTTTCCCTTTCAAATGACTATACTGCTTCTTCAGCTTCTTCCTAAGCGAGTACACCACATACCCCTAAACACAAAACACAATAACCCCAATCATCAAAATTCATCGCAACAAAAATCAAATCGCCGAGAAGTTTTGATAAACTCCCCAGGAGAAAGGAACCATACCTGGCTGGGGATTACATGCTGAGTTCTAAATGGCCTGACCACAATGTCATTACGCAGTTCATATGTTTCACCTGAAAGTTTCGAAAGTTGAGAATTCTTATCCAAACGCACCAAGTTGAAGAGAAATAAACATGGAATCCAATAGCAGCAAAGGGAGCATTTTACCAATATCCAAGGCAACTAGCTCCATGTTGAGTTCGACTTGGCCCATTGACCTGTGAATGTCGAAGAGCTTCTCGACATCGTCTTTCAAGGAAGGAGGCACAAATATGGTTGGAGGTTTCAAGTTGTACAGACCCCGGCTGGCTACATACATTGGTAATCCTCCCTACATAACCATAATTCAAGCACAAAAATCGATAGTAATTGAGAAGCTGTATTGAAATCAAACCGCTGACGCTGAGATTAGCAACTCTTAGGCGTAATAGAGCTACACTAACAAAGCCACGAATGATAATCTGATAAAATTCCCACTTGTTCGTACCAATAACTTAAGCTAATCCCAAGGTTTCCATAAACAGACCTTTATACACTACACCCAGCTACCAATACTCTAACTGTTCAATGGAAGCTACCGGGAGGAGGGAACTTTTTGCAAGAGCAGCGGACTCACGATGTGATCAAGATGTCCATGGGTGATGAACACGAAGTTCTGTTGAATAGCTCGAGCAGGACACCTCCCAATGTCGAAAGCGCACTTCAATTCCGGGATTATGACGCATGTCTCGTGGCCGCCGACGGAGATGCCCTCGACGGTGTATCCTTCCAAGTCGACGCCTCGCCGGATGACAGCGGAGCGGGCCTTTCGGTACTCTTCTTCCTCGTCAATTGCGCGGCTGAGGGAGGACAGGTAGCCAGAAGCTCTGGCGGCGGTGGTGGTAGAGCTCGCCGTGAGGTTCTTGAGAGAAGGAAGGTACGGCGGCGCGGTTGCAGTTGGCGGTGGAATTGGATAGTGGTGGTGGTGGTGGAAAGGGGAAATTGAAGGAGAGGACGAAATTGGAAGAAAAGTTTGCATTTTTTTTTCTCAAGTAATGTGGTGAGATGAATTTTTGCAGAAATGGAGAAAAGAGGGGTTTGCAGAGGTTTTGCAAGCAAGCGCCAACAGCAACAAGATGACTTCGGTCTCTAGATTCCAGCGGTTAAACGGCGCTGTTTTGTGTCCCCTGTGTCTCTTATCAACCGTTTTCCTCGCTAGGTATGTTTTGACAAGTGGTACAATTTTATATCAGTTCATATAGGGATGAAAATCGCGCGGATCGAGGTCGGATGTATATGGATCCGTTACCCGCCCGCCGGAACTTCGGGTTCGGGGAATCCCCGACCGAACTCTGTTATCGGATGTAAAATAGCAACCAGGCCCGCCCGTTTTCGAATGTCGGGTTTGTCGGGGATCCGAAACTTATCCGAGTAGTTCATTAATTAAAAAATAACAACCAAATTCTTACGTGAAGCTGAAGCATGAACTTCATAATATCAAATCCAGAAATCAGAATGCATTGGAGAAGTAGCAAAAGAACAAAACATTCAACAGAAAACATTCAATCCTAAAATACCATCAAATCCAAAATGACCAAGACCATTGTATCAGCAAAACAAAAGTTTAAATGACTAGCAAAACATCTCTCCTACTCGAGAACAACTTCGATAGCAGCAGCAACACAACAGCAAGATAAAGACTTCACTTCAGGCCTCCATACTCCACTTTCCAGTAGCAGCAGCAACAATGCAGCATTCTGCATTCTTTGATTCCACCCAGCAGCCAAGGCAACAAAACTCAAACAAAACCTGAAAAACGAAGAAAAACAACCGTTATTAAGGATCCAAATTCACAAATCATGAAATCAACTAAAGTACTAAGAGAACTCAAAAGTTCTTACTTACATCTTGCTGCTAAGTATCAGTTCACAAATCTTGATTAATCTTCAAGAAGCTTGAAACGAGGGGCTTGCTCTACACATTTAAACAAACTATCTCAATCTCATTGACATATATCAAAGGCCGGAAGAAATCACACATCTGAAACAAGGTTTTATGTTTATTACCTTCAGTAGTTTCAACATCAGGTTGGAGCTGGACCAGATCCAGATTGGCTTCACTTGTAGGGGAGAAACATCCTTCCAACACTCCTGCTCCAGCAGCATCATCATCTACGAATGCAAGCCAAGTCAAAATAGTTACATAAGATGCTAAAACAACAATGAAATTGAACAAAAATATTAACTTAACAGGGTTAAGAATTTACCTACAGCCAACTCAGCTTGCAACCAACTTCTTGTGCACACAAGTGTTTCCACAGTAGCAAGGTGAAACCTGCTCCTATGAGGGTCCAAAACACGACCTCCAGAGCTGAATGCACACTAAGATGCAAGAGAGGTAACATGAACAGCCAAAACATCCCTTGCTATGGCTTGCAAAGTGGATATTTTGGACCATTATGCTTCCAACACATTAAAATATCAAACTCAGCAAAACGAGGGAGAATTTCCTCATTGAGGTAACTGTCCAACTCAGTATGGACAGAAGTAACCCTTGCCCTTTTTCTTTGGCTCACAAATCGATCAAAGTCCAAATCAGTGGTGCTAGGAGAAGAGGACTCAACTCCAACATACCCAGAAACATTCAGATTCCTCTCCTCATTCATTTTACTTTGGTACTCCAATACCAGATCAGATAATATGTCCTTAACAGATTCCAAACGATAGCCATCAAATTCAACACCAAATTTTTTAGCATAGTAGTCAACAATTTCCAACTTATACCGTGGATCTAGAATCACAACAATAGCAAGGACTTTGTGAATCTCGTCCCAGTACTCGCTGAATTTTTCCAGCATAGAATAACCCATCTTTTGAATCACTTCATTGGTATCAACACACCACTCATGAATCTTGAGTTTCAACTCACAAATACGAGGGAAGAACAGATTAGCCGTTGAATACTTCGATCCAGAGAACAAATCAGAGATTGAGCTAAAATTTTTAAGTTTCTTACAAACAAGTGCAGCAAATTGCCACTGCTCATTCGATGGCAAGTGATTATATTGAGCATCACGCTGCTTCAGTTTAATGAAAACCTCCTTGTAAGGAATAGCAACAGATAGCATTTTAAAGGTGGAGTTCCACCGAGTAGGGCAATCCATAACAAGTCGTTTCTCAGAAGTGAATTTTAACTGCTTTGCAGTTTCAAGTAAGAACTCTAGCCTTTTAGGGGCAGCAGACCAGTAAACAACACTGCTCCTAATGTTATCAATTCCCTCTTTAACAACATCCAGACCATCTTTCAAGGCGTAGTCGATGGACAACAGGTGAATATTCCTGTACTACCCCTTGTTGGTCCCGAGGGACAATCAAATTCAAGATGTGAACAGCACACCTCATATGTATCAAAGCACCATCACTTATCAAGTCAGGTAACACTAATTTTGACTGTATGACACGAATCATAGAGTCATTAGTGTTACAATTGTCTAGGGCAATGGTGGATACCTTCCTGTCGACATTCCAATCGAGCAAACAGTTAACCAACACTGTCCCCAACCTTTCAGCAGTATGAGGTGCTGGTAAATATGCAAATCTGCACAAGAACGAGCAGACAAAGAAACAATTGCAATTAGGAATGAAACAAAAACTAAGAAACAGAAACCAATGATTCAAATAGATACAAACTACATGTCTTACCTAAGCATATGTCTCTTTCGCACCCACGAGTTCTCAATATAATGAGCTGTAACAGTCATGTACCCCTTCTTTTGATTGGTGGCAGTCCACAAATCAGTAGTTATTGCAATTCTACCTCTGTTGATATCAAACAGACTTTGAATCTTATCTCTTTCAATATCATAGATCTTAAGGACCTCTTTCTTTATAGTATTCATCGATGGAACATTGAACAATGGTTGAAGAGAGTAGACAAATCCCTTGAAATAGAGATGATCAACCATCGACAAAGGATATTCATGCATTGTAATAGCAATTGCAAGCTCCCTTTTTGAAAAATCAGAGTTGAAAGCAGTAGCAACCAAGTCTTGATTTCCTTTAGCCAAATAGTGAGGGCCGAGAATCTTTTGACTACCATCCCTAATTTTCTTCTGAACACAGATTTTGGTGTGATTCTTTAGGTGGGTAGTACCATTATTTGATTCCCCACCTAATTGCTTCTTACAATAATTGCATTTAGCCTTGACAATTCCATTAATTCGAACTTTGGTACAGTGTAACCAAACAGCACTATTAAGCTTACCAACGTCGAGTAATTCCTCGACAACATTACCATTCCCAGCATTGCCATTCTACTCATTTGTAGTTGCTGCCTGCAGAGTAGTTAAAATCCCGATTTAAATCCTAAAATCCTACGCTTTTACGATCTTACTTACCTATTCCAATTCTGAGTTCACTATAAAATCTATGGACCTTAAAATCCTACACTATTCATGATTTAAATCCTTAAAATCTTTAAAATCTCACAATTTTACGATTCAAATCTTTTGAGTAAATTTTACTTGTTTTCCCTAGAATTTGCAAAATTACGCCTCTTTTTCTTCTCCTCCACCAACATCATCTAGTTCTCTAACACTAACCACCATGGACTATAATAAATTCACATCAACGTATTAATCTCATCGATTCATCACCTCTTAACATTAATCTTGATAAATTGGAACATTAACCTTGAAAATTTATCATTGTAAGTGTTATGTGCTTTTGTGTTATTCATGATTTTCCTTACTAATATTATTCCGTCTTGATTTTTATATGGACCTTAAAATCCTACGATTTTACGATTCGATTTTACGATTTCGATTTTACCCTCATTTTCGATTTTACATAAAATCCCGATTTTGACTGCTTTGGCTGCCTGCGGAGTTGGGTTTGTGACCGTCCCATTTCGAGTAGGTGCAGACAGAACTGGATTTGCACTATTGCCATTATCTTGTGGAGTGGGTTGAACTCCCTCTGTTGACATTGTTCCTGCCGAAAAAACAGAGAAACAAGGATTAGTAGGATATCAAGCAACTCCCTCAATCATTAACCAACATCAATGATCAAAATTGAAACAAAGAAAATGGATATTTACCTTGAACAAACAGAGTGAGGCACAAACAACGGGTGTGAATGAATGTGAAGATGATTCTCGCACGCACAAGGCCACAGACCAAACAAGCAGTAAAAGGATGAGAAGTCTGTCTGGGAACTGAGAAACAGAGTACTGAGATGGAGACTTGAGAGAAGGATGAACAAAAAAATAAACCTCACCTCGTATTTATACTCCAACTTCAATCTCCAGCCGAATCGACTATTCGACTTCACTGCGAGAAATTCTCTTTGCATGCGGCAAGCCATGATTGAAAGGGAAATGATTATCATCATCGGGAAGGAAAGCAGATAATCGATGGGAGATATGCAGCCGATATGTTAGGGATTCGATGCAGCGGGAGCAATCGGATTGCTAGAATCTAGCCTAGGGTTGGAGGCGGAGAAGAAAATGGGAGAGGAAGAGTTTAGTTGAGGGGAGTAATCTAACCTAGGGTTTCTGATTAGCGGGTATATATATGTACGGGGCGGAGTCGGGGCGGATAGTTTCGAGTCCGAAGCCCGCCCGAAGCCTGTTTCTCTTATTCTCGGGTTAATCCGAGTCCGACCCGGAGCCCATCATCAACGGATTTTGCCTGATTTTGTCGGGTCGGGTTCGGATCGGATTTTCGAGTTTCGGTTCAATTTGCCAAGCCCAATTTCATACTTCTTACTTGAAAAATACATATAAATAATGAATTAATCATTGACACTGAATGAAATTAGACATATATAATATATTTGAAGACATTTTCTATAAAATAATATTTAAATAAAATATAACATTTCAAAATTCTCATATTTAAATACAACATTTAAAATGTAACATCCAAAATTTTATAATCCAATAAATAACATAAATATCTAAACATAATCTAACAAATAATATCAACATTTTATTTTTCAACTTGAAGAAACAAATACAAAATATGGTTTTTGTGAACTAATTAATTCACCAAAACCACGTAATTTGAAAATTTTAAAGGATCATATCAGTCATATCGTTGTTGTGCACTGCCAACAAGAATAGACTTTGCTCTGCCTCCTCCTCCTCGTTGAGACTTTCTGTTGTCTTAGCAGGGAACTGTATGATCTTTTCCCCTATTTTTTTATCCAATATTGATCAAGGACGAGCCCCGACTTCCATTCTTTTCATATAAGAGTCTATTATAGCTTCCTTACATAATTTGTCTTAGACCAGCTCGTAACTGAAAATCACCAAAAACTACCAAAGGACATCAAAATATATCAAGGTCTAATAATCATTGTCACCCTTAGCCGAAAGGTTAAGTGAGTTAGCTTCCTAACTTGTTGCAACGAATCTCAATTAGCTAACTAAGAGAGAGTTAGGAATCTCCTTGGTTGATCGATAAAGAGGATTAGACTCTCTAGCTACGAATCACAATTCTTGACCTAACGATTAACAGAGCTAGTTCCCCTAGCTTATATTTGTTGATTTTCCTTCATTGATCAACTAAGGGAGTTTGTCCCTAGCTAGTTGCGCCACCTAGCGATGTATGGACACGTCCTTCTCACTAGAGCTTTGTTTGTCGCTTCTTAGCACGAGACTAGGGGGAGCAATGCCCAAGTGAAGTCCCCTCAAGTCGAATTCTCCTCGATTTACTTTCCTTGTTCGTTCACTTTGTAGTTTTCTTAGTTTTAAATCTAAAATTGTTTTGCTAGATAACAACTTAAGCGATTGAAGTAGGGATACATGCACCGGTCCGGGTTGATAATTTAAATACTTGCCCTATACTACACCCGACTAGAGTTTAAAACTTGTTCTCTAGTCGGGATTAATTCGCAGTGTAGTTCCGTGCGAGTCATGTCTTCTAGTATATTTATTAATCCTTTTTTATATTTGTTTATTATTTTTACTAATTCATCCATTTTATTGAACAAATTTCAGTAGCCATTCTAGTAATACTATGTTTAGAAGGTTTTCTAATTTTTATATTTGATAATACTTGTTGGAATATAATTTTAGATGTTTTAAAAAGTTTTGGGTACCAAAAGGTAATTAATTTTTTTTGGGTTGGATGGAAAACTAGACAGATGCACCTTTTGGCATATTTAATGGTACCCGACACTCTATTCAAACTTAAGTGGTATGTCTACCACAATTCTCAAAGTTAAGTGATACTCGAGGTATTTTACCCTCAAACTGCGGATAGAAAAATACCACTTTTGAAGTGTCATCATGCATAAAAAATTTCCTTTCCGGAAAATTAAGTCATGTTGACTAATGAAACATAAATTATAGATTTTATTAACTCTTTTCATGAAATGTTTTGCACCTTTTCTACATATATTAAGCCATAATGACTTTGATTTGCTTGATAATTGGTCAAAGAGATGTATTTAGTAGTCTCTAAGGATTTTTTATACATTTGAAATGTTTTGGGTAGTGTTTCGTGCCTTTTCAGACCAAAGCACTCAACTGGACGACCGTGTATGAGTTGGAGATATCAAGACCAGTGAGATAAACATCATAAATGAAGCCAGGGCGACCCAAATTGTCCAGTAGAAGCCAAAATGGCACCTCGGGCACCATTTTTCAGTAGGTGCAATTCCACTCAATCTAATCGGGTATTCCTTCCCTAGGCATTACGTTTAAAATATTCAGAAGAAGATATGTGACTGAGAGAGTTACCATCATACAAAATATCTAAAAAAACCTGATAGAAAAGCCTATATATAGATCCCCTCAACCATCATTTGAAGACAAGTATTTTACGGTGGGTTAGTATGTCTCTAAAGCAACTCACTAGAACGAGCATTGATCAGAAGCTCAAGGGCAGAATAGCAGCCAAAATGGCTAGGCGCCATTTTGCTTCTTTAGACCACAATTTCACAAAGCTTAGTTAGCCTCGTCTTTGACTAACGTACTTCCTATATTTTTTCCTCATGACCGACCACTTTGATAGGGTTGCGAACCCTATAGATTCCTTACTCCTTAGACAATGTATAAGTCAATTCTTGATATTATATATATAGCTTGTTTGATTGATTTCATCTCATTGTTTTTATTGTCTTTGATTTTAATTTTTATATGTGTCTATGTGGGTGGATTGTAACAGGAACCCATGTAATTGAGTGCACATCAACAAAATTACACGGCTAGGTAGTCAACATATGCGATAATCGTGACAAGCATGACTACAAACTCTAGGGGAAAAAATACATGAACAAAGTCTTTTATTTCCTCTTTCGTCACTACAAAATTAGGAAGTATAGAGGACAATAATTGGAGACAAAGATTTAAAATTGTCTCCGGAATAACAAATTTAAGTGATATTAAGGACAACTCCATGTAATTGTCTCCAAACCAATCCGAATTGGATGTTTCAATACTACGGGCCTAACCCAAGTTGTCCCCAAAGGTTTGGGCTGCCGATTCTCTCACGATAAAGTCAGGGCAACTTGAGTCTTAGGGTTTACTTATTCCCCAACTTTCGCCTACTCTCATTCTTCTGTGATCGCCAACAAGAGTCGAAGGCGATAGACCATAGCCCTGGCCAATCGCAAGGTATGAGAGCACTTCTCTCTATATCTCCTTTCAATTTTCTTTCCTTCCATCAGTTCGTAGTTTTCATGCATCATCCTCCCGCAGAATCCCTCACTCAATTAAGGATTCCGTATATTGCTTTAATGATCGCAATCACTC